TTTCTGAATTGTTGCTTACTGTTATTAATGAAAACAGAATTAAGAAAAGGGAAAACTTTAGCTGCAAACTGTGCCCATAAATTATTTGTCTTCCCTGACTAGCAGTTTAGGTATAATGCTATTGAAATGAACACAGTCTATGCCTTTATTAATCTTCAGCTCTTTATTGAAAAGTCAGCTTGGCAGGGAGCTCAAAAGGAGCTCGCCCCCGCTGTTGTAGCTTCTCCGGTAGCCGAAGGGTGAGAAGGCGTGCAGAGTCTGTCCCTGCAGTCTCCGTGGCACACTGGTAGCTGGAGGTGAAGAGGTGTGCAGTCTGTATCTGAAGTCCCAGCAGATCGTCCTCTCTCCTTTCCTCCTGGCACACTGGTAGCCAAAGGGTGAGGGGATGTGCAGAGCCTGCTGCCGAAGTCCAGCAGCAGCTATCCCCTCTCCTTCCCTCCTGGTAACACCAGGAAGTGTGTCTCCTTTGCTCCTGCTTCCCACAGCCCAGTCTGGTCCTCTGCAGGTTATGGTGACAGGTCAGACACAGACTAGGGATGGGGTTCCCTTTTCCCCAACCAGCACATCCATCCAGCCCCCTCCACTGTGCCCATCTTGTCCATTTAGGGGTGTTTTTCATCCCCAAAACTCCCTCCCATGATTCCACTGGATTATTTTGCATCCAGGTCCTAGTGGGGTGGGGTTGTAGGTGATTCCCAGGAGCAATTAGCTAATTAACATTTCAATGTCAGTACTTAGCCCAAGCCAAGTGTCCCAGCCAGGCTGTTTTGTTCATAACAAATCCCTCCTCTATTTCTTTGATCGGGCTTAAGCCCGCGTCAATTTACAGTCTCTGGCTTTTGAGGGTTAGCTTCTTTGGGTAATTCTCTTACTTTTGTATATCAGCTTTTAGCAAGTCTTCTTTAAAGTTACCTTTAAGTCTTTTGGTTCTTTAACTACTGTCCATGTACAAGAGGAGGTGGGTTGGGTGACCCTCTAAAGGGCACTTCGTCTTATTAAACAGTTACAAAGTGCTTAAACTTTGACGAGGGTACTTTAACTCAGAAGCGGTTATTATCACCTTACCGTATATCAGTTCCTAGTAAGTCTTCTTTAAAGTTAATTTTAAGTCTTCTGGTCCCTTAATTACCATCTCTGCACAAGAGGAGGTGGGTGACCCGGTTGAGTCTGGTCTGGCGTCTGAGGGTGGTCCTGGTCCTTTTACTCTGGGGATATGGATCCAGCCTTTTTCTTGGGTTCACACCGCACTTGGGTTCGCACTGCAGTGTTTGTGGTGAGTAACACCTGGAGAGATCCTTCGAATTTGGGGGTTAGTGGAGTGGTGGTGTTCTAGGACTTTATTGACACTTAATTCCCGAGACTGATGTTGTGGGCACTGGTATTCAGAAGGGAGGCTTGGGGGAGATGCCCCTTCTTTCTGAGGCCTTCTAGGGATTTTCCTATGATTTTTAAATATTTTTAAGTTGCTGCCTCCCCTTTTAAATAATCTGCAGTACTGAAAGGGGTGGTTAGAAAAGGGAGTCTAAACATCATTTTATAAGGAGAAACCTGAGGTCTTGTTTTGATGTGCAAGAGAACAAGAGGTAAACACTTGAGCTAATTCATTTTTGACTCTTCAATTAATTTGGTTATTACCTTTTTAAGAATTCTATTTATCCTTTCTACCCTTCCCAAGCTTTGAGGATGCCATGGGGTGTGCAATCTCTACCTTATCCCCAGGGCTTTTGTTACTTGATGCAATGTTTGAGCAACAAAATGTGGACCTCGGTCTGAGTCAATGTTATTGACTAGCCCGTATTAAGGTATGATATTTTTTAAGATTATTCTTGGAACATCTTGTGCGGTTTCCTTTTTCACTGAGAAAGCCTCCACCCAGTGAGTGAGATGATCTACCATCACTGGTAAATGCTTGTACCTCTGCACAGAGGGCATTTCAGTGAAATCTACTTGTATGTTCTGGAAAGGTCTTAAAGCAAGTTTTCTTCCCCCATGTACTTGTTTTCTCATTATCTTTTGGTCAGTTTTCAGGCAAATCGCACACCTTCTTGTGACTGCTTTTGCCAGGTCATATGCTGCAATATATAAATTCTCCCGTAAAAAAGTGGTCGCACAAACTTTGGATTCCCCAGTGGATCAATTCATGACTTGAACTACTTTTTATCTCGTGGGATGATCCTTACCCTTCATTGGACTTGCAAGTCTCTTCCCAAGAGATTACTTCTTAAATTTGGCAGATAGATAAAGTCTGCCAAAAATTGTCTAGAATTCCCTTTGATTTTTATAGTCTTGGCTATAGATGTTTTAAATGGCTTTCCCTTCACTCCTAAAACCTCACAGACCTTCTTCCCAATGTTGACTCTTACTGGTAACTTGTCCTGGACTTATCTGGCTCTGTGTTAACTAGGAACTCAAAATCTTCATAGTGGGGACTTACTTTAAAGTTTACCAAGGGCTCTTGTTGATGGCTGATAGTATCTCTTTGCTTATTGAACCCCTGACACCCCTAGTTATCTCCCCTTGAAATCTCTTCTAAGACTTCTTGTTCTTTATGCATTGCTTCATTAAACTGAAACATAAGACACATCTCACTACAGTAATAGCACCTCCTGTTGCTTTGTGAAGCTTCAGGTTTTTTAAAGCCAATCAAGTTCTTATTTGTTTCATATGATGGTGCTGGTTGATCTCTATTTCTTTGGTAATAGCCCTGGTCTATTCCAACTTGACTTAGACAGCAGTGCTGGTGACCTGCCTGCTCTTATACTTCCTCGAGCAACTGCAACCATAAGTCTAGCTTTAGTTTTGGATATTTCTTCTTCTTTCTTCAAATATAATCTTAGGGCTTCTAGGTGTTGGTTTAGATGATTATATATCTACTGATCTTGGGTTCCATACTATGGCCACTCTCCCTGTAATTTTAACTTTGGCCATTCTTCTGTACTCTTGTCTAGACCCTTTCTGGTATCCCAAGAATCCCATTGGTCTAACAATTGCCCTAAGGGCCTGTTAGGGGGAATTCTCTTTGCTTTCTCTTTTGAAGGATCCGCTCCTTTGCTATAACCTGTTCCCATTTCCAGGCCTCAAAAAGAAAAGAAAAAAAATATACCTTAAATGGTGCCCCCTCTAAAATGGAATATACAGATATGCAACCACAGTTCATCTGGCTCCTTCCCACAACTTAGTATTTTAAATCTCTTGACTGAACTTAATCTCTTCTAGTTAACCTCCCACTCTTGGCATTTATCTCTGTCTCTTGCCCAGGATAACCACTAATCATACTCACATATATTGTCTTTTGTTTTCCTGTTCTTTCTGGACTTCTTGATGGACTTTCTAGGCTTGGACCCTAGGTAGGTCTCGCCCCAGTTCTTACTTGGCCTTTTTCCCAACCTCCTCACTAAGCTTAGGAATCTTGGTCTCTCTGCAGCGGTAAGGTCGAACGTCCTGCCGAGCCTTACACTCGAACTCCGGCCAAGTCCCTCACCTATGTCTCCCACTAGGCTTAGCCTGCTTGCCTTTCTACTCGCTTCTGGACTTGCTTACTTACTCTGCCTGCCAGGACCTGCCTCCTTCCTGCTAGAACATGTACCCTGCCTGCCAGGACCTGCCCCCTGCCTGCCAGGACCTGCCCCCTGCCTGCCAGGACCTGGCCCTGCCTGCCAGGACATGATCCTGCCTGTCAGGACCTGCCCCCTGCCTGCCAGGACATGCCCCCTTCTTGCCAGGACCTATGCCCTATCTGCCAGGACATGCCCCTGTCTGCCAGGACACGCCCCCTTCTTGCCAAGACCTTGCCAAGACCTGTTGCCTGCCTGTTAGGACATGCCCTACCTGCCAGGACATGCCCCCTGCCTGCCAGGACATGCTCCCTGCCTGCCAGGACAAGCCCCCTGCCTGCCAGGACCTGCCTCCTGCCTGTTAGGAAATGCTCCTTGCCTACCCGAACATGTCCCCTTCCTGTCAGGACCTGCCTCCTGCCTGTTAGGACATGCCCCCTGCCTGCGAGGACCTGCCCCCTGCCTGTTAGGACATGCCCTTTGGCTCCCAGGACATGCCCCCTGCTTGCCACTGCCTGCTGGGACATGCCCTCTTCTTCCCAGGACATGGCCCTGCCTGCTAGGACATGCCCCTTGCCTGTCAGGACACCCCCCTGCCTACCAGAACATGTCCCCTTCCTGCCAGGACATGCCCTCTGCCTGCCAGGACATGCCTTCCTGCCTGTTAGGACATGCCCTGTGCCTGTCAGGACACACCTCTGCCTGCCAAGACATCCTTCCCCACCTGCCAGGGACATGCCACCTGCCCTGCTGTGGACAACTCCCTTGCCCTGATTGCCAGGGACTTACTTTATCCCTAGAGAATCTCCACATGCCCAGAGGAGGGCCTTTATCTCTAAGGAGATGCCTCAGTCACTCCTCTGTTCTACTCGCTTCCCCCCGTTCCCAGCTGGCCCCTTCTCAGGAGTCTGGAAACGCGGTACTAGCGGGTCCCTTTCACTTCAGGGGTCTGAGCTGCCGGCCCCCGTCTCACTCATTCACTCACTCGCTCGCCTCCCAGTTTTTCTCACCAATCCGTCGTCCCTCCGCATTGCTCCTCTGCATGGCTCGTTCGCGTTGCTCCTCCACATGGCTCGTCTCACGCTGATCTTAGGGTCCGGTAGCCAGAAAATCCCGAAGGTCCCTCAAAGCAGGTGGTCGAGCTGTCCAGCTGTCCAGGGTTCCTTTTCAGGTGTGGCTATCCCGGACGAGCCCCTAAATTGAAATGAACACAGTCTACGCCTTTATTAATGTTCAGCTCTTTATTGAAAAGTCAGCTCGGCAGGGGGCTCAAAAGGAGCTCGCCCCCGCTGTTGTAGCTTTTCTGGTAGCCGAAGGGTGAGAAGGCGTGCAGAGTCTGTCCCTGCAGTCTCCGTGGCACACTGGTAGCTGGAGGTGAAGAGGTGTGCAGTCTGTATCTGAAGTCCCAGCAGACGTCCTCTCTCCTTTCCTCCTGGCACACTGGTAGCCAAAGGGTGAGGGGATGTGCAGAGCCTGCTGCCGAAGTCCAGCAGCAGCTATCCCTCTCCTTCCCTCCTGGTAATGCCAGGAAGTATGTGTTCCTTTGTGCCTGCTTCCCACAGCCCAGTCCAGTCTGGTCCTCTGCAGGTTATGGTGACAGGTCAGACACAGACTAGGGATGGGGTTCCCTTTTCCCCAACCAGCACATCCATCCAGACACCTCCACTGTGCCCAGCCTTCCATTTAGGGGTGTTTTCATCCCCAAAACCCCCTCCCATGATTCTACTGGATTATTTTGCATCCCAGTCCTAGTGTGGGTGGGGTTGTAGGTGATTCCCAGGAGCAATTAGCTAATTAACATTTTAATGTCAGTACTTAGCCCAAGCCAAATGTCCCAGCCAGGCTGTTTTGTTTATAGCACTATCATTACTTTTGCTGAGACATTAAGTGCTTCACAGCTGTAACATTTGCTTTAGTGATGCATGTGCTCAGCAACTACAAAGGATCCCAGTCTGATTCTCACATCTAGGTGTCATTACACTAGAAACAAAAAAATGACTGCAAAATTTTTGTTGTTGTTGTTCACTAAGGTGAATGTCTAATTTTTCTCTTATGAATCCCCTTAGAAATTGAAAATAAAGCTTCAAGAAACACACATCACAGATTTAACCAGTTTCCCTCTTCAGAAGGTGGGCAGGCTCTAATGGACCTCTGAAATGTCTTCCATCCTTTCAGATTCTCTACTTGTTCACAGGACTTCTAACACCTTTGTGGTTTGTTTCACAGAGTGAGTTCTTGGAAGAGATCTGCAAATCAAAGAAACATCTAGAAGTATAAAAAGCCATTGCATTTAAAAAAACCCAAACCTACTTTTTTAAAAAGAATTTATTAATATACAAATTTTCTTGGCATTTTCAACTTTACAAAAGTAAACCAGAAATGTTTTTTCTCTGATTAATTTTTTTCAAATTATTATTTTTCTAATCCATGTTGTCTACAGCAAAATACTACCCAAAAAGATCTGAAGAGGCATAGCAGAGACCAAGCTGTTAGCTGCTAGCTGTTAGAAGAGTAGATCTCAGTGGACTGAGAGGCTGGGTTTTGATGGAACTAGCGTAATAAATGGAGATGTCCCTACAGATCAGGTACTCATTTGCAGTAAATATCCAATGTATTGGTCTTTGCAACTGTTTGGCAACATTGCAAGAGCAGAAACTCTCAGTAAATAGAGAAAAGGGCTGCACACTTCAAACACCATGTCAGTAGTGCTCATGCTAATGGTAAAAGGAAAAAAAACCAGCTGCTTCGTATTTTCCAAACTTTGCTAAGTTGATCAGCATGATTCTGTCACAATTACCCACTAACTTAATTATCACAGTTTAAGTAGTCTAAAGGAGGAAGAGAGGATACACCCCATAACTGCACGAATTGTAATTTTCAACAGAAGGATCACTTATTAATTTCATTTATGTTTTCCCAGACAGTTATGCATAACAAATAAATCATGCCATGATCTCTTTCATGGCAACTAGTTTATTGCTGTTAGCTACTTTGAAGTGTTGGAATGGTACTTCTAAATTTATTACCAGAATAATTAAGGACATATATAAAACTAATGAGAAGTGATGCTGTTCTGAACAGTTCAGAACATAAACTTATAATTCTTTATTAGAATCATAGAATCCATTAGGTTGGAAACAACCTCTGAGGTCATTAAGTCCATGCGATGATTGAATGCCACCATGTCGACTAGACCAGAGCATTGAGTGCCACATCCAGTCTTGCCGTAACCACCTCTGGGCTCAGTGACTTCACCACCTCTCTGGGCAGCCCATTCCAATGTATAATCACCTTTCCAGGAAGACATTTCTCTTAATGTGTGACCTGCACCTCACCTGGTCCAGTCTGAGATAGTGTCCCCCTATCCTCTCTCTAGATCCGTGGGAGAACAGATCAACCCTCACTTGGCTATAATCTTCCATATAGTTGTGGAGAACAATAAGTTCACCCTGACCTTTCTTTTCTCCCTCAGCTGTAGCTCAACAGGCTTGTGCTCCAGACCCTTCCTCAGTTTTGTCTCTTTCTCTGAAATCTCTCCAGCATAAGCATCCTTCCAGAGTTTAAGGGCCCAGAATTGGATGCGGGATTCAAGGTGTGGCCACACTGGCATTCAGTTCAGGGGAAGAATTTTCCTTGATCCCGCTGCCCCACTGCTGCGGGCACAGCCCAGGATGCCCTTGGCCTTCTTGACCATGTGGGCACAGTTGGCTTATGTTCAGACACCACTGACCAGTACCCACATGTCCTTTTTCCACCAGGCAGCTTTCCAGCCTCTCTGCCCCAGCCTGTAATGCTGCAGGGGTTGTTGTGGCCTGGGGTTATTTTTATCCTGACATTTCTCTCATCAGTGTTATCGCTGGTAACCTGCACAACCACCAGTGGGTAGTAATCAGTGGACTGGATTAGTCCAGAGAGTCTTATGGTAGTATCCCTTACCCAAGGGAGGTAGCAGACTTCCGTGTGGGCTGGGTTTGTTCAGCACAGAGGGTCCTCAGTTCCCCTCAGTAGGGAATCACCCACTACAGCCTTCTTTTCCTGTTACCTGTAGTAATGATTCATCTAGCTGCCAATGCTAATCTGGGAGACCCCTCAGATGGACCTTCTTCTCCACTGTTATCTGCCAAGTTCCAGGCCCTCATACCTACTTTCTAAGGGCTCTTGGGAAGGCAAGGTAGACTGTGAAGGGATCCTTTGACCTCTATGAGAGGGGACCTGTCCCCATTTGCCACCTTCTTTCAGGTCTCCTCCTTCAGTCTGATCTCAAGAGGCTCCTCTGATCCACGCTGAGCTTTCATCTACTGCATTTCTCCCAGGGTGGAAGAGACCTTACTGCTATTTTTTCACTTCCTGACACTTCTCAGTCTCTCCACCTCCACTTCAAGCTCTGCCATTGGGCAGAGCGGGTTATCCACTGTTCATATCACACAGAGGTGTCTTTTCCATTGTCTTCCAAAGCTAATGCCAGGCTTGAGCACTCCCTGCAGCCACAGTCCTGTGCAGCTGCTGCTTCTTGGAGAGCTCTATCTGGGTCACCACGCTCCTGATAGCAATGGCTTTCAATCATTCGTAAAACACTTCTAGGTCTATTCCAGCCAGTTCCAAAGGCAGAGGGCACACAGCATTCCTTGTAATGATCAGTTCTTCTGGTACTAACAAATGTTTAATTGTGGCAAAGTGACATACTTGAGTCTTCCAGAAAAGCTGTATCCAGAATTTTCCATTTTCAACCTAAACAGTTCAATAAGCAGAATAGAATAAAGCCAACCAACGTTCTTGCTTCAGCAGGCTTTGGGTTTTCTTCAGGATACCAGAAGCAAGGAAAATGCTGGTACAGGAAGGAATCCATTCCTATACGATTACAGAAACCTGGACCCTGGACCCTATGCTGTTTCAGAATATCTACTTACTGTTACATTTCTAATCTTAGGAGAGCAGGGTGCTCTGTTTGGCTGGTAGCTGGCTCAGCGTGACAACAATTCTGACTTGAGCACATAAAAGCTATCATAATATAAATATCCAATAGCTTTGATTTGATAGCTATGCTTCCCGTGTATAAAATGACTAATGTTCTGTCTTCACACTCCCAGTAAAAAAAAAATTTAATGCATAATAACCAAGGGCCTGCTTAATGAAACAGAGCTGATTATTCAGTGAAAATTGACTTTTCTTATTAACAAACCCAAAGAAATACAAGCTCTGCTTTGTAATATAGCCATGATCTCAGACATAATATTTTAAAACATTATATATAGTGCAGTGAACACTTTCCAAGAAGCAGTAGTAGTCTTTTGTGTAGCAACAGCAGCAGCCACTGTAGCAAAAATTATTGGAATGCTTCTGTTTCAGACTTGGAAAGGGCTTGTATGCCTAAAAGCCTCTACTTTCTTCTGGTTATATTGTTTTTTCTAATAAAATATTTTTCCCTATAAATCTCACATGCTTTGAAGTCTTTTTGAGATTCACTAACTTGATACTGGTCTTGAAGATTTTAATCTACATTTTCAATGCAAAATGTCAGGTCAATCACAACACAGTAAAAAAGACAAAAGAAGGCAAAGAAGGACAGCAAGAATGGGTCCCCATTTATATGTTATTTGGAGTCTTAAAAACAACATATATACATTAGTACATATTTATGTATTTGTATAAAAAAATGTGACTTACCTTCTGAAATCCTGATTTTGTGGGCAAAAAGAGTGGGGAAAAAAGTCCTTATGGTTAGTGGGACCAAATAATTGAATCCAGTGAACTATGAGAGGTTTTAATGCTGAGGCTTTCCACTACTCACCAATATATTTATTTTATTATAAATGGTCAGAAACTATGAAAAAGCTTTACTGCATGATGTAGTGATTGCTCAAAAGAGAATTTTCTGTATTTTCTACTCTGCAGAGGGTAAACATGACATTAAAATCAACATGCCTGTATTCAGTTGCTTAATCCCTCAACTTACACTTAGAAAATATAATGATATAGCAATTCTAGAGAGGAGTAATAATGTTTATTTTGTTACACATGAATGATTTCTGAATGTGCAGAAGAATCTGATGTGCTTTTGATTTTTCATTCGTCGCTAGGGATTTTAGAGTTTTTCATTGCACCATTGTTTTCAATCTCAGGAAAAACACTGAAATAAATTATCTGCCTTTAAGGTGTGAAGTATTTGCAATGCTGTTTATATTGTATTGAGCAAAAATGTAGGGATTTTTTTCCCTGGATAAATTAAGGTATATGATCAGTAGGTAAGAGAGAGAAAATCAGTCAAAGAAGAAGAAGAACAGGAAGAAAAATTCTGAAAGTTCCCAGAGTCCCTTCTAAGTCTACTGCAAGTATAAGGTTTTAAAAATAAGAAAAGTTTATAAATGTATCTAAAAATATCAAATTGAGTGTAATTTGTTCAATATTAATTTGAGTGAAAACCACATTTCTCTGTATCTTAGTTATTCATGCCTTTAAAATAAAATTCTGAAAAAACAAGCAATATTAGTTTCAGCAAATGCCTGTTTTTTGTTGCTAAACTGATAACAGCAGTTTGTGATGTAATTTGGTTCTTTTTCCTGACGGTATATAAGTACTTATATTTATGGGTTTTGTACTCTATAGGCCTGAAGATCAATGATGGAACTTCAAGTCTGTGAGTTATTTACTGATTTGAATTCAAATTTTCTTGTAACTCATGTCCCTGTATTTTTAAATCACTTACAGATTTACTTACTTAAAGAAAGCACAGTTTTGAAAAATGAACACGTGTGTATATATGTTTGGGGCAACTATATGGATTAGTTTGTACTGCAAGCAAAGTTTTATGTCGAAAGTAATTCTTTTCATTACTGTGATTACAGATATTTAAGCACAGGTACTAAGCATTATTCTTCTGTTTAACATACATTCAGAGTTTTTTCACTTTAGCTCTTGTTTTCCATTATCAATAGCAGTAATTGATAATGATTATCAAGTTGCACTGGCTTGGAATTTTTTTTATATTTAGGCGTATTCTTTAACTTTTGTTTGAATTTACTTACCATCTGCAAGAGAGATGTACATGCAGAATATATTCCTGAATGAAAGATGAAGTATTATTCTTTTATCTCTTGTTTTGCTTTGTTATAGGCTTATAGCAATAAACCCGGTTCATCACCTGAAGCTAACCTTCACAATTCATTATTCTTAAAATAAAGAACACAAATAGCAAGTATAATTTTTCTGGAGTTTTAGACGGAAAGGAAGTTTGCTTGGCTACTGTTGTTTTGGATTATGTCCTCAGGTATGTTGTTGAAAGTTAAACAATACATTGAAAGATGGGGAGTACTAAATAATGCAGGTCTGCAGGGTATGAGTTTTCTTATGTTAAGTGAGAGATCATTCTTTGAACAGAAAGTTGTAAATGGAATAAAAATAAAGAATCTTTTATTTTAGTCAATAAAAAGAATTCATTAACTTTCCAAATTGGCTATCATACCTAAATGCTAGATAAATATTCAGACAACTCTTAAAAAATGCATTATGTATGCATTATGTATTATAGATCAACACATGAACAAACACAAGAAGAGATAATAATTTATTTTGTGCCATAGTTGAATTAAAAAATACTTATGGGAGAATTTACCTTCTTTATAATTTGATCAAGTAGTATTATATTGCTTAAACATGATTTCTTCAAGACCTTTGAACTGCTCTGCATTTTTCTATGAATTCAGTGTCCCATCCCTGCCTTGGTTTGTAGCTCAGATAAAATACAATAGTTAGAGAGTTAACTGGAGAGGTAATGTTTATTTTTCTATTTCTGAAGAAACAAAAACATTCAATATTGTACCTAAGCCATTTTTCATCCTTTTAGAAATATAGGAACTATAATATAGGAGCATAGGAAATACAGTAATGGTAGATGGCTAAATAAATATTTCTTTCAACATAACACCTGGGAACTCATCAGTGTGGACTCTCCACACCTGAGAGGCCAGGGGCCCCAAGTGCTGGGCCCCATTTAGTCATACTGTTAACCCTTTAGGACACAGCTCTCTTTGGATGTTTACCAGCTGTCAATGAATCTGAGAGTTCCTGGACAAAGCTGAGAACATGCCAGGACTCATTCCAAGGTATCTTGGTGTGAGCAGTGTTTTACAGCCTGATTTTGTAATCAAACAATGACCTCTGTGTTTTACTCTTCAGTAGCCCTTGAGTTGTCATTCACGCATTCAGAATCTCCAACTCTTTGGAGATGGTCCTGCAGTATTTTTAGTTACCAGGGTCACATGCTGAGCCAGGCATTCCATGTTGCCCTGTCCCAGTTAACGACCAATAACAATGTAGTCTTTAATTCAACATTAATGAAATATTGATTAACTTTCTTCAAAATTTTTGATTGACCTTTAAGGTGTCTCACTGATATTCACCTCTGGGCTTCACATTCTGGATTTAAGCTTCTGATGACACTTATGTTCACACTTTCCTGCTTAATTTTTTTTAGGGTAGCACCTGAATTTCTCTAATTTTTTCCAATATTTTCACACCCATCTGGCAAAAATAATACTAAATATTTCACTCCCACATACTTTGCTTTATTTCTAGGAGGCAAAGTTATTTAAATATGTTTATCCAAATCAAGTGTCATAACTTTTAGTCCAAGACGTAAAAATTTTCCTATTAGCAATTCAGAAAGCACACTTCTCTAGACTATGTGGTGTTGTTTGATAAGACAGAGGAAAGAAGCTATTTTCTGATTTAAAGATAGTTTATCTTCTTTGACAGTTTTCTTCTCAGTTAAAAAAAATGTCTTGGAAAATACCATCTTCTCAAATTCAGCACAGATTGTGGTAGGCAGATAAGTATCTAAATATTATTGATCTCATAACTTTTTCTGTGTTCATCAGGGTCAATCAACAGAAATTAATTCACAGGGTAACACACATATCACAAAATTAAGCCTTAAATTTAAAATGTTGCTTGTGTGTCACTGACAAACTATAGATAAATTTTGCCTATGCTGATGATGAATCTTCAAAGTGTTAAAATACTTTCACCAAAGAAAAGATTTCCAAAAATCAATATAATATACTTGTCATGGACATTATGACTATTTCAAGCGATGTCCTGGTGCACAAATGAGATCATTCATGGAAACGTCTTCTTCCCCTTTCCCCACCCTCCTCTGAGCACAGTCAAATTAATTCTTAATTAAATTGAGAATGACACAGAACTCGGATATGGTTATTATATGTTCATTTCTTAGAGCACTAAAAGCATCTGGTGACTATTAATACAATTAAAAACTAGACTTAAATAAATTAATTGTTTTTCTGATAAATATTGCTAAATTTTTAATACTTTAACTATCTCAGATCAGAATAAAGTAGCAAATAACAGCTGCATAACCATTATTTTTTGGTTTTGTCAAATCATGAAGGCTGATAGTTTGCATTCATGTATTTGCAGTAATTATTTGCAGTGTATACCATTTATATTTTTTCTTATACTGACTTTATATATGTAGATATATGTACCTACCTGTGCTTTAGATTAACCTTCACATTAATCTTCAAAATTCTGTGCATGTTTATTCACAAAGTGGTAATTCTTGACATTCAGCTACTGTATATTTTAAGACATGTGGGAGCTCTACTGCAATGGATTAATGCTGCCTGCTTTGCCCTCAGCTAGAAGCTGCTGGAATGCATTAAAGCTGCACTGCCAGATAAATGCAGCTATGTCCTGCATGCTGGAGCACATGGTTCCCAGACAGCTGCATGTCTCCTTCTTATTGATAGTGCTCAAACCAAAGGGATATCACATGTCTGGCTTTAAATAGGATTTCATGAACTACTTTAAAGCACTGAAGATGACAAACAATTTTGCATGTTTTTTCTGGTGCAGATAGCTAAGTGTTTTAGAGAGAAACACTGGTGCTGCTATTGTCTCTGATAGATGTTTCATACCTGATGTCACATCTGATAGAGCATTCATGGGTAACATGAACAGGAAATACGTCTTAGGTAAGGATCACCTGATCAATGATTAGTCACTGAGGTTTATTATTATTAGGTTTACCTAATAATTTATTCATTATTTATGAGGGTCACAGATGATATTGAGCACTGAAAATGTAGCAGCTGAGTGTTAGCAGTTTGGTGATGGGGTAAAGGGACTGTGGGAGTTGTTCCCATATTGCACAGTGCTGGGAGCTCAGTTTTATTGTAATTTCATAAAGATGATAAAACACAGACAGTCAAAATGCATCAGGTTTCTTCTTGCTCCCCACACTGACTGAGTTGTTTTCTCTAAAAAGCTGTTAAGCCTGGTGGAAGCCTACGAAGAGCAGAGCAGGTCTTGGTTCAGCCTGCCTCGCTCCTATTTTCTGCAAAAGACTAGAAGAATATCTAAAATTAGTTTTCCCTGTTATTTTGTTTATTTTGTTCACTTCAGGTCCACAGATGCAAAAATACCTATAGGTAGGCTATCTTTTCTTTTGTTTTCCTTTTTCTTTTTTGTCTTTTGAGTCCCTTATACCCTTTTTATTCATTGAAATGCTGTCATAGTAATGATTAATTGCAACATTATGCATTTTTCCTCTGTTGCACAGTTTTTAATACAATAATACAAATGCTTACATTTTCATTGTTTTTTAGTTAGTCATATGCTTAAATATATCTGAAACATATTACTGAAATCTTGTCAGTAATAGCTGAAAGAGGACTAATTACCCTAATAACTTACTGAACAAGATAGGGATCTTTCCTAGAAAAGACTGCAAAATTTACCCTAAGGTATAAAATTATATTGCTAAATTGCCACAAGGTTTATATCGTTAAATTGTCACAAAGTTTTCTTTTTTGTGTTGTGTTTGTAATTTCCTTCTAACTCAGTTAAACTTCATGGCCAATGAAAGGACTCATTTTATATGCAGTGAAAGTCTTGGCTCTGAGTTTATAGATTGTATTCCTCAAAGGGTCCTCATCCAAATCAGAATTTCAAATAGGTTCACGTTAAAGACAGAATTTGAACTGGTGAGTCTTCCTGTAATTAACTGTGATAACACAGGGGATGTGAAATGCCCTTTAAAACATAGCTGTAGGCTTGCAGCTGTCTTAATGGGATGTACTGTTGTTCAGTCACTGTAGTATGTATTATGATTTAATAGACTAAAAAACATTTCAAGTGATTGACATGCATGTGGCAAAATTCAATCAGCTGAGAAAATAACCAGCTATTCTCCAGCTTTTTAAAAGCATCAGCAGTCATGTTGACGTTACTAGTCTGGCTAGCTTGTTACAAATTTGAATTTTACTAGACACAAGTGAGGTTTAAAAAGATATAGGAATAGCCAATCAACTTCCACTTAGTATTTCACAGACTGATGCACTAAGGTAAAAAAAAAAACTCTAATCAGTGATTACAGGAAAATGGTTCCTTTGCTTCCCAGCTGCCTCCTCCCCTACTTACAACAGACTGCCCTCAGCTTATGCTTCAGCCTTATCAAATCTGTATGGTTTCTCTATTCAGAATAAATAACAGCCTGCAGGATGAACTTGCAAATAAAATGATAGGTGAACTTGTTTATTTAATCAAAGAAGGACACAGCTGTAACAATAAAATTTGCAAATGTCATCCACAGGAGACCTAGACAGTATGCTGAGGATTCGTAAGATGACATAAGGAGTTCTCACAACAAACTTGGTGTTATTTAAGCCAAAGACATCTTGAGCATGAGCCTTTAAGAGAAGAAAGTATGTATGCTTTCCTGAACACTGCAGAGGGAACTTCACAAGATGGGAGCAGGCTGGTAGTAGAACAATAAGTGTCAACAGTAGATGGATTAATTGGCCATAACCTACTGCTTCATGAATGCCAGGGGACAGCAGCAACATCGGAATTGCCTTAAGGTTCTTGGCCTAATGAGGAACTCTGGAATAAGTTTCCTGTCTGCATTTTCCTCACGGGACTACTTCACCCTCTAATGCTTCAGGAGGTTGAGAAGACAATGACTGATAATGTCTCACTCAAATTTAGATTCACGGATAACAAAGCCAAAGCTAAGCCTATTTTTCTGTCTCATTTCTATTCAATAGTATTTATTAGTAATTTCTAGAAAAAGCCTCTGAAAAAGTCTATGTTCTGTTGCATACTTCTATATTGGATTATAAATACTGAGGCAATAATGTTTTCCTTAGAGAGAAGTCAAACAAATGAATAGAAAAAAATACGGTAAGAATTATCTGCATGAAACTCCTGAGGTGGCTTTTTCTAACCTGAGATACTGTAAGGCAAGAGGCTTTCCTCAGTCACTGTGTTAGTGCCTTAAAAGAAGCAATGTTGAGAACTGCTCTGCCCACCCATCTGTGTGCCTTTTTTTAAAAATAGGAGGATGTCCTACATCTTTAAGATAGCACTAATCTCTCAGCTGAGGTTCAAATTGTTGTGTGAAATGAAAGAAAATAAAATGTTGTAGATACTGTCTCATTCAGATACTCACTTCAGAAGAATATCTAAAATTAGTTTTCCCTGTTATTTTGTTTATTTTGTTCACTTCAGGTCCACAGATGCAAAAATACCTATAGGTAGGCTATCTTTTCTTTTGTTTTCCTTTTTCTTTTTTGTCTTTTGAGTCCCTTATACCCTTTTTATTCATTGAAATGCTGTCATAGTAATGATTAATTGCAACATTATGCATTTTTCCTCTGTTGCGCAATGTTTTTGATATTAAAAGAAACTCAGTTGGAACAAGAATGTAATTATGTATTTCCAATATTTATTTGAATAGACCTTTTAATGAGAATTTTCATAAAAATTTGGCATCTGTATGGACAAAAGTAGTATTTACAGTATACTGCAAGGAAATTAGGCATTATTCTACATCACAATTTTTGGCAAGTTTATTATACAGAAAGTACCTAGGAAAAGGTTACATGAAATAAGCTTTCCAAAACACAATAATTCGTACAAGCAACAAGCCTTTTTAAAAAAAGCATAAAAAAATATTTGTGTCTTTTTCCACTTCCTAATGTTACAAGAATAACAATCTAAGGGGTTTTTTTTTTAAATATTTATTTGGCTTCAGTTTATTATGTGGCAACTTTTTGGTGTTTCTTCTTTTTTTGTTTGTTTGGTTTGGTTTTTTTTGGTTTTTTTTAGTTGGTTTAGGATTCTTTGTGGGTTTTTTTAAACTGAAACAATAGGATTTGACAAAGCAGAGCATAACTAATAGAAAATGTTGCAACTCTGGATGAATAAACAGATCAATTTCTTAAAGGATAAGACAAACCTGCAATGCATTATCCATTACTGCTGTAATATCTCTTACAATCTATCAGTGTGACAAAAGTACAAGCTGCCTTCATTTTTCTAGGCTGTGGACACTTTCTATACCTCGTGAAATCTAGTTCATATCTTAGTTTGTGCAAACTGCAAGCACTGCAGGACATGGAATTGAATGTTGGTGTCACAGAGAATACTAGTAAAAAATTACTGGAGATTCTGTGATATTTAAAATGTTTGAAATTTGAAAACTTCAGTAGGAAAGATTGTAATTGCAGGCAAATGGAACTGCAATCTAAGTGCAGAGACCTTTCAGCACAGATGTGTTCAGCTGCACCCCTGGAAAGAGCCCTGTAACCCCCTTCCTTGAGGGGAGGTGTCAGTCCTTCTGCCATTTCCAAATGTACCATTTCTTTCGCCTTTTAAGAGAGCTGCAATGTGTGCTGAATAATCTTTGGCTTGAGGAAAAATGTGAGGAACTCTTTTATTTTCACATTTTTTATCCCTTCCAGTCTTATCAATTTTCATATTACCAAGTCACTGTAGAAGAGGCAGTGGAAAATCACTGTGGAAGAAAGAGGACATCTGTGTGATAGAAGGGAACTAAGAAAGAATATGGGGAAAGGTGACAATTGGATTTGAGAAAGAAAAGGGTAAAAAAAAACTTTTCCCCTGAAATATGTCAGAACTTTCTTTCAATTCCTCAGTTCCTTCTTATTAGAACACTAAAATTCATCTTTTATCTTTCACGACACACCCAATTCATCTAATGTGTGTGTGTGTTCACAAAACTCCACCTGCCTACATGTATGCAGGTCAACCCACTTCCTACTTTATATCTCCAGTATTATTACTAAATATCCCAGTATGAATTACAAACACTTCTATAATCTCATAAAATGAAGCCAATGCTTTTCATAAATTGATACCTAAAGTCTCAGCCAAGAACAACTGTTAATTAAAAAAGACATTATTGTGTTAAATACTTTATCATCGTTTATAGAGCTCCTAATTTTCCTTGATGGTCTCTTTCAATGGCTCTTAAGTTATTTGTACTTTCATTAATTGCTTGATTTTTAAAAATCTGAAACACAAATTTTCTAAATCCCTGAAAACCATATTCCTACAAAATCTGACATATCTACCTGTTGCTTTTAAGTGTTTGTGATACAGGTATTCAGAAATATTTAAATGCCTAAAGATGTATCAAAGTCTTAAAAGTATTGAGGTATAAAGGTAGAACTGGAGCATAAGCTGTGAAATAGGCAGCTGACATGCTTATGCATTTCTGTCAGTGCTATTATGAATTGATAAATGCTTTTAAAATCTAGTTTTATAATCCTAAACTTAGGATTTCTTTAAGAAGAATCTTCCTAAGGGAAGCACGATTATAGTGTATTTCCACAGATCACAAATATATAATACA